GCATTTTTTTTATTCTCCCTTTTGTTTATTAAGAATATGAAAAACGTATCTGGTAGTCAAGAAATATTATTTTCTAATTTCAGATGCTGTGTCGTTCGCGTGCATGGCAGCTAAAGCGCCCATCGTATCACGCACTGCGTGCCATGAGCTCATCAAAACTAAGTCTGGAGCAGCTTTTGAAGCGACAAAGTCTCAAAAGCTCGCGAGTGCTAGTGCGCGCCGACTTGAATGTACCGCTAATGAAAAATACGAAGCCCGCTACCATCACAGACGACACACGGATCCGGACTGTGCTCCCTACGCTCAAGCTACTTCAAGAAACAGGAGCACGAATTGTGCTGTGCTCGCATCTGGGTCGTCCTGGCGGAGAGGTCAATGATGATCTTCGCCTTACGCCTGTGGCTGCTCGCCTTGGTGAGCTGTTGGGAACCCCTGTCAAGAAGCTGGACAACTGTATTGGGCCTGAGGTCGACGATGAAATCAATGCTTTACAAGACGGTGAGATCGTTCTTCTCGAAAATGTCCGCTTTTACAAACAGGAGACAAAGAACGATTCAAAGTTTGCTAAACAATTGGCCCACGATGCAGATATTTACGTGAATGATGCATTTGGCACAGCCCACCGCGCTCACGCCTCGACAGAAGGTGTCACAAAGTACATCGATACCAATGTGGCTGGTTTTCTCATGGAGAAAGAGCTAAAATACCTAATTGGTGCTGTTGATGCCCCTATTCGGCCGCTTGGTGCCATTATTGGTGGTGCCAAGGTATCTACTAAGATTCCTGTGCTCAAGTCATTGTTGCAGAAATGTGATAAAGTCTTGATCGGCGGTGGTATGATGTTTACGTTTTACAAGGCTCAAGGTCTAAACGTCGGTAAGTCCATTATTGAAGAAGACAAGGTCGAACTTGCCAAGGAGATTCTAGACGAAGCAAGTCAGCGTGGTGTGCAAATTGTGCTTCCTACTGATGTTGTAGTTGCCGACAAGTTTGATGCGAAAGCCCAGTCAAAAATCGTACGCGCTAATGCGATTCCTGCTGATTGGTTGGGTCTAGATATTGGCCCACAGTCATTAACGACGTTTGCTGAAGAGATTAAGAAATGCAAAACTGTCGTTTGGAATGGTCCTATGGGCGTGTTTGAGTTCTCTGAGTTTGCCAAAGGCACATTTGGTGTAGCCGAAGCTCTTGCGGAAAGCACAGACTGTGGCATCACAACTATTGTTGGTGGCGGCGACTCGGTAGCTGCAGTCGAGCAAGCAGGTTTGGGCTCAAAGATGAGTCACATTTCTACGGGTGGTGGTGCCAGCTTAGAACTACTTGAGGGCAAAAATCTTCCAGGTGTCGCCGCTCTAAATGATGCTTAGACTTTGTTTCGAGGCATTGTGTCATGCCTGTAAATGCGATTGCAACGGATGAGTAGAAATTTACAACGCAATTTCAAAATGGCGACTTTGTTTATCAATGTAGCTTTGGTGTTAATCAAAGTGAATCATGTAAATTTCAAATTAAGTAGCTGTAGTAGTACTCTGGGTGAGTTGGGTGTGGTTTCTGAAGCAAAATAATTGAGCACTTATTTCATCACAGAGTGGCAATCGACGATTGACTTTGAACCTGCACCAACGATCCTTGACGCGACATGTAGCCATGACCGCCATGAGGAGTAAACACATCACAATCAGGACAATTATCAGGTGTCGATGGCTCTTCACAAGACTCACGACGTTTTTTAACGTATAGGGCGCTCATGATAGCCACAACAACAAGTGCCGCAGCTGCAAGAAGGCTTACAGCTGGAGAGCCGCTTAGAGCCTTCTGGGGGGCACTTTGCGTTTCTGTATAAACGGTGGGATTACCAGCCGAATCCACCCTTGTTGTAGGGTCTACAGCACTTTCAGTAGTTCCCTGGGCTTTTAATACGTTGCAGCTAATAAGATACTGGTTGGCTTCGTTCTTGTTATCGCGACATAGACGGCAAGAAGTTCGAGCAGAGCAACCAAGGAGCGTTGGCGCAGCAACATTGCAGCGACCTTCTAAAACGAACGAGATACCTTCAAGACCAGATCTCAATACAACCGACGAGCACGTTGTACTAGTGGAGGCAACTGTTGGTGTAGGGGTACTACTCGGAGGTGTAGTTGGCGACAGGTTTGGAGTTGGAGTAGAAGACCCACCAAGAGACGAGCATGTTAAGAATGCCGTGCTCTGGGGAGTAGATCTCGTTTGACAGAATCGACATTGACCACTCCGAAAACAACCCAAGCCACTCGCTGCGCACGTTGGGTAAGTCGCTGCTACGGCAGAAATACCCACTCTTTGATCACCAACCGACACGAGTGACAAACAATCAAGTGCTTCTTCCTTTGAACTAATTGAAGTATTTGTCGTAGACTCTGTTTGACAAGCAGGCGATTGCTCCGGACTTGCTGGCGTTTTTGTCATAGACTCAGTTTGTTGAGCAGTCGACTGCTCCGTACTAGACGTCACAAAATCTGTTTTTCCTGTCGACTCAGTTGATGGAGGCGTCAATACTTCAATCTCAGAGCACAGTTCTAAATGCATGGCTTGACTGTGTTCCGACTCCCGACAGAATCGGCATTGATCTCCGAATGGAAAACATCCCAAACCGCCAGATATGCAGGAAGCGTCTGCCACTGCACTGATCCCAACACTTTGATCGCCAGTCGACACCCTGTCAGCACACGAAGTAGTTGCTTTAACACCTGTATCTGCAGCAAATACAGCGTATGCCACGACAAAGACGGTCTCTAAATATAAATATCGCATCGGGATTCTCCGTTGCAACGAACTTTAATGGCCAGATGAGCGAATAGGAAGCAGTAAGTGAATTGATGAATGAGCTAAACTCAACAAATTCTTAACGTAATATGGCGGGCTCAACAAACATGTAAGGCTGATCGAAACCACTGAGTGTCAACGTTATTTGGTTCGTGCTGCAAACTGTACATCTCTCATTTTAATCGCTGCTTCTTCAATGACCATTCTCGAAACGACCGACATGGTCGCACCTTCATGTTTGCAACGTCCCGACGCGACTGTTTCGTTGTTACCTACCTAATGTCGCCACTTGATCGCATGACCATTAAGCATCGGTGGTTCGAGAAATCCTCGAAAATGTCGAGTCTCTGCGTCCCATCGAGCGCCATATCCCAAAGAATTACGAATTTCCATTGTCGCATGACCGTGAGGCAGACTGTGAATATTTTTCCACGTCGCAGTGGCTAACAGATCACGAACTTTGGCTTCAGCTTGCACATTCTTAGCAGCATCGTTTCCCTTAAGCTCACCCCACCAGCCACTAGAGCTTCTAGTGCAGTGCTTGGTGTATGCTCGCGCACCAACTGTGAGGAGCTCATTATTGTTATGACGCTGAGCAAACGCTGCCAAGCATTGTCGAAGCGTGAGCGGAGCCACATTGCGACTACCGACAGTATGCTGAAAGCCTAATAAAGTTAAAATTCCGCGTGCGCCGCCTAGTACTTTTACAAGTGCGAATGTTGCATCTAGAGTCTTCTCACTGTCATTATTCACGACTGTAGCAACAAAAGTGTGGATTTCGCCTACAGAGACGTTCAGAATTCTTTGTCGACTTGTGTACTCGGCTGTTACACCTTCAATCAGAGATTCAGGTGTTAAAATTGAGTACGACTGAAGAGGATTGGTTTCGGTCAAGTGCCACGTGTAGAGAATCACCGTTAATTGAGTCACGTATGATGCACCTGAGACTCCAATCAAAATGCTTCTAATTGGAATGGAATTGACCTCTTGGTTAGATTCAGCACGAACGCTTTCGTTGTCTTCGTCAAGGAGCATCTGAGCGCGAAATGCTGCAGGGTCTTCAGCATCTATTACTGAAAGTTCACTGTTGAAATACGTACGCAACGTCCGTTCAATGCAAGCATGTTGTGCAAAGGACTGCATTTATAAAAGAGCTTAATTTTGACTTGTTCCAATAAATATAATTATATATTCTGAGTGCATCACAACTTTAAGAATCTACGCGACTGTAAGATCCTCGATGCAATCATCATTGGTAGTGGTCGACGATGGAGCCACTGTTGAAGGCGTCGCGGAAGGTGTCACCGTCGGAGACACTGATGAACTTGACGCTTTTGCCTTGCATGCGGCCAAGTGCGAGCTCTGCGGCGTGCTAAATGCCATGCAAAAGCGACAGGCAACGCTTCCACCAAAGCAGCCGACTCCACCATTAGTAGGACACAGTGGAGCATCTTCTGCAGAGATACCGACGCCTTTGTCACCGGAAGACACTTTGTCCGAGCATGATGCGGTTGACGCGATTTGAATCCTTGTCGAGATCGAAAGTAGCACTAACATGATGATCTGATTCACGCGCATGGTGATATTGCAAGAAGCTGAACAAAGCAATTATGTCTTTAAAAAAGGAAGGCATCTCATCCATGAGACAAGGAGATAATCATAGTTATCGCATCAGACCATGAAGACCAGTATTTTTGTCGCTTTTTTCGGGCAAAAATATAATCCAGTACAAATGTCAAGATGCACAATTAAATAGATGCGACCAGTAAACCACGCGGTGGTCCGCCCCAACGCGTGTACATTTAACGGCCTTTACTGGCATCTTTCTGGTATTTATACATACTTCTATCAAAAAATTGTTATGTACATAATTAGCTCTTCAAACGTAGCTTACTCATTTTTGCAACACTTCTATTTTGCTCACAATCTACAATGTGTAATGCGTCACCTATGTATGAATCAAAACGACGATTATAAATTCAATCATATATCCATTAATGGATTTTATAAATATCTTTGTCTCTATTTGGTAAATGTAGTTGGAAAACTCTCAATTATGGCAACAAAATTTAAGAGGCATCTCATGACATGAACGCATGCTCAGAATGAAAAAGGTTTCTAAACTGAAGGCTTCAGAATTGACTTAGCGTACAGTAAATACTCTTAAAAAATAGTCTCGGATATATTGATGACATGCTTGATTTTGAGAAGTAATTTTCGGAATGGGGAATGAAAATTGCAAAATCAGTGAGCACTTAGACCTGCATTTGAAGCTAGTATTATTAGCTGATTATGCTTTCAAATACATTGATCCACATAACATCTGCCAACATCATTGCTAAATTGTAGTGATCGATTAAGGTCATGTAGAAGAGAGATTACGTATGCTGATTGCTGATCTTCTTCAAAAATGTGCGTGTGCAACACCATGTGGTACAAGACGAGAAGTACTACTAATGGTGACTGACTTCAGTAGCTTTACATTAAGTTGTCCTCGTCCTGTCTCGACTTTATCGTCACATTCATTCTGTGATAGTGTTTCTACACGAGTTTTGTTGCTCAGGTATACATCATACTTCTATTCAATTGCTCCGCATGCATCCGACAACAATAGTACAAATTAACTTGAGGATCAAGACGAACTTTCTTTTAGCGGATCTAAGCATGAATCAGTCAAAACTTTTGTTGTCGTTGCTGCCTCACAAAACACGTTAAAATATGTTCAAATGAATCAAAATTGGGATGCTCTAAAGCAGAGTGGACCACGTCTACTTCTATCATTGAATTGTAAACGCATTACGTGCCTACTTCAAGAAAAAAGTTGATCCAGCAAAAGAAGATCAACTGACGTGGGAAATGCCGATTTGTCGACAGCTGATGGGAGAGCCTCTGAATTACCGCCGAATTGTAGAACATCGTTGTCCCAGCTGGCACAAGCTATCTTGAAGGATGAGATTCTGGCGTCTATATTTGTACGATTGGACAATCGTTTATCTCTCCCATCCAGTGCGCAAAATTTGACCTATAGAAACACCTAATAGAAACCAATCGCGCGCTTCGTCTCCATCTTGGGGCCTGAACAAGTCTAAGTGGACTCTTATGCACGCAAAGAAGTCATTATCTCACGTCCGATTGTTGTTTCTGTCGATGTTGTTCCTCGATTACCATAACCATTTAAAATTTTCAAGTGTAGCTTAGATATCAGTTGATTTACAATGGATTACTTCACTACTCAGTTCGACCGTTCGCTTGCAAGTCACATCGGGCTTTTAAGACTTGAACAACTTCGTCTTGACAAACCTTATACAAATATGTGTAACACCTTACTTGTATGTTACCTGTAAAATGAATAGTAACTCAAGTATCGTGTCTGCTTGAAGTTTCAACCATCCCCCACCTAGAATATAACGGAAATCTCTATATAATACTTCCTTTGTCAATTCCTTGCATGGCCTTTTAGCGAAACTATTTTTTTCACCGCATATGCCTGAAAACGACAAGAAGAGACTTCTCGTAGCACAGCAAGATCTAAAATAAGTTTTTCGTCTACCTTTCGCTCTTTTCACGTCGCTTTCGATTTCAGACACTTTCACAGCTGGCCTCTTCTAAAGCACTGCACCATATTTTATCGTTCGGGAGATCTATGATAACGTTGCTAGAAGGAAACGGGTTCATTTTCGTGAAGTCTTGAGAACTTCCGTTTTTATCGCGTGTAACAGGTACGCCATTCTCGTCGTTGATTACAGCATCCAAGCCATCCACTTGGATGAAAGCGCCATAGATCATACAGTGATATTCTTGCTTTTTCTAACAAGCAATCGTCGATTTGTTGTCAGCTATCATCTCCGATGTTCGTGGATCTTATTAGTAGCATCATTCAAGTAGTTGATATCAAATAAGTAGTGGTACGTCTGTTCAAACTGTCAGCCTTCTTCGATAAAAGAGATGGTTCCTTGCGCTATGTGTCTATTAGAAACAATTAAACCTACTCTCTTTGAGCTAATGCTACGAAAAAACTGCCGGGCGTATATGAATCAAGGATTCCTACTTACCCTCAGCGTGACGACGTAACGTCTATCAACGTCGAAAAGGCCAGTAAGGCACTTAAGGCAGCCAGCTCGACATCTTGAGTACGTGAGCGTGGTGAGACGACCTCTTGTTTTGGAAGAGACGCAGTCAAATCGCGATTGGTAGCCATAAGCTCTTTTGTCTTTTTTGAAGACTATGAATAACCTCAACAATTCCTTTACTGCCGGTGCCGATGCTTACGTCAAAGGCAAATACGCAATCACGTCTACGGGTGTTGTGCGAAAGGGAACAGGTCGTGCCTTTAGCGTTGTACCCGAGGAACTTGAATGGGGCGGTCAAGTTATCGGCCGTGGAGCTAGCGGATGTGTTTTGATCTCACGTCACCGACCGACAAACACGCCGTTAGCGCTGAAGATAATCAACATGTACGACAAGACAAAACGCGAGCAACTTATTCGTGAAATCAATGCGCTCTTCGACGCTAAATGTCCATGTCTTGTGACCTTTTATGGCGCATTTCTTCGTGACGGAGCCGTGGTGCTTGCTCTAGAATACATGGACGGCGGCTCTTTAGAAAATGTCATTCATCAACTCGGTACCATTCCGGAGCACATTTTGGCCAATGTGGCATTCCAGATTCTCCATGCGCTATCATATCTGAAAACTAACAAGCGAGTTCACCGCGACATCAAGCCACCAAATATTTTATTAAACAGCCACGGCCAAGTCAAACTCTCAGATTTTGGGATCGCTTCAGAACTTGGCAACTCGATTGGTAAGTCTTGGTTTTGAAGCAAAGAATAGCTGTAATAATTGACGATTTTCTACACATGACCATAATGCAGCCATGTGTGGCACTTTTGTTGGCACTTTTCGCTATATGTCCCCCGAACGAATTCAACACGCGCAGTATAGCTACAGTTCCGACATTTGGAGTCTTGGCCTTGTGCTGATGGAGGCAGCCACCGGTGTTTACCCATATCCCAAGCACAAAACTTGCATTGACATGCTTCAAAGCGTTTTAGAAGCTCCACCGCCAGCTCTTTCTCCACAATACTTTTCTCACGACTTCTGCGACTTTCTGCAGCAGTGTCTCCAAAAGAATCCACTTGACCGAGCGTCAGCTGATACACTGCTTGAATCGTCCTGGTTACAACGATGTGGAGCCATCAGTAAGTTTCAGATTGTCTGTTTCCGAAGTCTAATGAATTCTCTGATATTAATGGTGGTGTCATTTCCATGTTAAAGATCTTGATAGCGCTGTTACGAATGTGAGGCATTGGATCGATTCGTTGCAGTAGCATCACGACATTCTAGTAAAATATCCAGAAACTTAACAGCCGTTCGTCAGTAAAACATCCAGGCACGCAATGTCTGATGAAAAGAATTTTAGTATTGTTACATAATAGGATAAATAATCTCTTGTGGCGGGGCTAGATCTCCGCTCACGTTCACAAGTACTCACAAACACCTATTGTTCATTCACGTATCTAATTCTCGGCTTCTTCGACCAATCAGTTGCCCATTATGTAACACATGGCAGCTTGTAAACATGCGAGATAGTAGGCAGCTTCGGAGCCATCCTGAGATTCGTCAATAGCATACTGCTCCATCAAATACACCTGTGAGTGCAAATGTGGCAGCTCGCTTCGGCTAAGCACATAGACTAGCAATGGAAGCAACACGTCGGCCGAGATGCAGCTGCTGTCTAGACCCAATCCGTTTTTCGATTCACGGTACAGCGTGCAAACAGCTCGCATCATAGACGATAAAACACTTGAAGGCACAAGATGTGGGATCTTGTTGAAGGCAGCAATAGACTCACTGAAAATCTCTTGATGCTTGACTTCTTCTGGAATTTTTACTGGTACACCAATCTCATCCAGACTCAACTCGCGCATCTTAGCTGCTTGTTCTCGCCAAGAGGCATTGAGCTCGTCTAAGTCAGCTTCAGTGTCACGATAGCACGCACAAGCGAGGCGACAGAATACCATATGCTCCACAAACATACGCAGGGCCGGCAGTTGAGTCTGCTCAAGCTTGGCCTCAGCCGCAACAGCGTTTACAATCTCTTCAACGAGTGAGTTCATGACATCGCGAGCTTCTCTCTCATCAAAAACTGTCTTTGGTCCAGGTTGACTACAAGATCGTGTAAATGAGCGCATGGTGTCCAAGCAAAGCTTGTCCAGTGCTCTCTTGAGATCTGGCTTGAGAAGTTTCTGCCGACTCAGCAGCTTCTCAAATCGTACGAGTGCGGGTGTTGGTTCATCTTTATAGGAGGTCACACTGACTACCTGGTCGAGTAATTGCTGAAGTGTCAATCCGTTCGGCTCAAGATTCTTCTGACGATGAAGCTTCATCAGCTTTGCCAAGTAATTAGCTTGTAATTGCAGCACTTGTCTCAACCAATCTTCCGCAAGTGCACGATCTGACTGCTCAATACCGTCGAGAAGTGTCTGACTTGCGGCGAAACTAGATCGGTGACGCTGGGTTCCAGAAGCAAGGTCATCGGCCTCGTCAAGCTCAAGCAGCGTGCGCATATCACCAAGCACAGCAAGAGAACGGTTACTCGTGGCTACCTCAGCTACAAGTTGCATCTGCAACAGCGCAACTTGATCACGGCGACTAGAGCTGATCCAGCCTTTGACGCTACGAAGGAGTTCACGCCGCTTGGACAATCGTGCCTTGCGCTTAAGCACATGTTGCGACTCTTCTTGAATGCGACGTGTAAGTTGGTCAAGTGCTGAAGATGCGGCCGTATTCTCAGAAAGAGCTGCATCAAAGCTTCGCCAGCGACGCTGACCGATATCTGAAGTAGGAATTGCATGGTCGATGCCACCGAATGAGAACGTGCTGGGAATTGATGTTCGGCGACGCATTGCTGCGGCCTCAGTCTCGATCGGAGACGCCGCGGCAATCGGTGAAGTAGCGGTTGCCACGCCTTTGGCATCAACAACACGCTCAGCTGCAAGATTTGCAGCCAATACGCTAAGATCCTCGAGGCCCATAATTGATCGAGTATTGACTTGAACAAGAAGATGAAAATGCAACTATGAAACAAAAGTTGGCAACGTTGAGGCTCACGGCAGAAAAGCCAAAATGCTCAATTTTACATGCGTGCGAGAGTCGTGGCGGGCAGCAGCGGTACCACATTTGTCATATGGAATCGGTTATAAAAGGAAATTAGATTTTGAAGGCGTAAGTAACGGAGTAACTCTTACATAGAAGAAATGAAAGAGAGAGTTTTCCAGCGAAATTGGGAAAAGAATAGTGAGACCAAGCGAGATCAGACCTAGATCGTGCCTATGATCAATTACAGCTTTGATGATTTGAAGTCACGTGCGAGAGGTTGGAATAGTTCGACGGCATAGCTCAACAACATTCTGTCTATGTAGCTGTGCTATACATGGTCTCCACATGGAACTAACATCACATGGTGAGAACTTATACTTTCTTCAGACTTCGAAGTACCCAACATAAGCCAAACGTCGGTATCAGCTGACAGACCACGTGTGTATCGTACCATCAGACCTGAAGCTGGTTAGGTGCCTATCCTGTCTTCCGACGTCACAAGCTACGATTGCCCTTCGCTTACAAAAAACTAACGATTTTCTTGTACAATTTGTAGCAATTGTGCCTTCGTTGTCGGTAATCGCACCGGAAAGTCGGCGCACAAAATGGTCATTACAGGGTACGCTTGAGCCGCTGATCACAATTTGCTGGCTTTTCTGAGGTGCGTGCTTCTTAACGAGTGGCTACCGAATGAGATATCCAGCAACGCGGCAACACGAAAGGTGATTAATCTCTCAAGTAAAAAATGAATTAGTATCATCTCGTTGACATGATTCTAGTTTGGAGGACCGCCAAAATGGACCCTAGTAGTCTTTGTAATGGCATCGAACGTTTTGAATGAGAGAATCTCACAACGGTCGATACTGTACCGCTGGCGTCATAATTTCATTAATGCGACATGCTGGCCTCTATGACTTCTATTGCCGGCTCTGTGACGACTGTGCGGTTAACTCGGTGTACTTTTCACATCAAAGCGACCACCACCAGTCATTGAACTAAGTGCAGCAAGACGCACTTTGATGACAAGTAATCATCAAGACGACAGTAGTACTAAGATGTTTTCAATAGAAATTGTAGCATTAATTGTCAGAGGAAAAAAAAGTCACTGCTACACTACTCTATGGGAATGGAACTCCTTGCTGTTAATCAATTGACAAGGACGACTCTTGCGCTCACAGGTCGCCTGTCTACTCCTTCTTCTTTCCTTCGAGCTTTTTGAGCGCACGCTTGCGCAGAGACAAATGGGTTATCATTGCAACCTGTCAGGGCAAAAGTCAGTTGCGATTCGTACAGGCATTTGTAATTGTATCATACCTTAGCTAGTAGCCAAGAGGGGACGCTCTCATACAGCCAGATCTGTAATGCATGCGGCCAGTAAGGCGAGATAAGTGTGTCATAACCCAGCTGTACCATTGACGCGCGTGCGTACGTGGTGGGAGAGGGTACCAAGAAGCTCGAATGGCGAATTTTGGCCAATTTAGTCGATACAAACATTGGCACGTGGCATTGAATATGTACGTTTTTAGCGGCGTACTCGGCAGCGAGACACAGCGTCAACTGCTCAATGTACTTTTTAGTGGCACTGTACTCACTGAGCAGCGGCACGACCATGCGGCCTGAGCCAGAACTTAAATTGACAATCACACCTCGCTTGCGTTGCACCATGCCCGGTAGCACCAGTTTTGTCATAATTGTGCCGCTAGTCACGTTCAGCTTGATTAAACTATCCATGCGTTCTTCTGATAGCTGGTCGAAGAATTCAGGGAAATCATACGACACACCAACGTTATTAAATAACACGCCGACATCTCTGATTTCGTCCAGCTTCTTCTGTATAATCTCGCGTACTTTGGGTTCGTCCACGCGGTCAAAGTCTACAGCCAAGGTCTTCACTTGCACCGTCGGATACTTGGCAAGAATTTCATTGCGTACAGTCTCCAACCGGCTCTGCGTGCGGCTCAGCAGCACTAAATTCATTTCTTTCCTTGCCAATTCCATGGCGAGCGCCTTACCAATGCCATCCGTGGCACCCGTAACGACACCCCACTGGCCAAAGCTTTTCAAGCTCTTGGCTGGACGCAAAAAGAATGCGTAGAATGAAACCAATAGCTGCAGCACCAGACGAGACAGCACTAGACAACCCACGGCTGCCAAGGCGCTTACAGATAAAGGCGCCGCTTTAAGCGTTGCCTGCATGTGCGCCAAGAGTTTAAGCATGTGTTGAGCTATCTTTTACGAGATTAATGATAAAATCCAATGCAAGGATATTAGGGGGGCCAGATGATGCGCATAAAGTATCCTAGGATGATGTCATACTTTTGCACATACTTTCCTATGTATAATAAGTAATACAGATGGTATAAAACCAAGATGAGTAAGAAAAATAGAAAATATTTTTACATTTAGTCCTCTCTTTTTCTGAACAATATTGCGACTGTACAAAAGTTCAGGAGGCCTCTACACCATGGGTAAGCGGCGACACATGCGCAACATGCTAACAGTGTCGGACGGTTACTGGGGATTTGTTCATCAGAAACGCTTCTATCGCTGGATTTATGCATCACTTACATTCTTTGCCATCTTTGCTGTGGTCGTGGCTTTCTTTGACGTTGGTGCCGGTACGTCGCATGCTGCCAGATTCGTGGCAAGCAAATATACAAAGGGTGAGCTAGATGAGAACCAGCGACTGCTGCAATGGATTTACATCTTCTATCCAACACCTTTTGCTTTTGCGTGGTTTCTTGTCTACTTCGCCAAATTCCTTTTTTGCTGGAAAATCAAGCGATTGCGAAAGGCACGCAATTACAAGTACAACCTCATGCTGGCTTCATTGATCATCGCAATCTTTTACGCCGTCATACTGAAATCTGTACTTAAAATGAAGCTCTACTCGGGTCCTAAGTTACGTAGTGCATTGGTGATTGGACTTTGCGAGCTTGGACTTGTGGGCATTCAGGTGTTTGATGAGCGGAAAGAACGCAAAGAGCGGCATAAGATGAAAAAGATTTTACGGGAACAGAAAGCAGAGGAGAATTTGGTGCATCAGCGACATGAGCACTTATCTGGTGATGCATCATCCCACCAAGTTTCGCCTTCTACGGATATTGCGAATGCAAGAGACGGAGGAGAAATGGTTATCGTTGAGGGCAGGTAGACCCCTTCGAACACATATTTAGGTCCAGACTGTAAGATATTGAAGGAACAGCTTTTGCTTGAAGAGATCTCAAAGTAGTGATGTTTGATCTGTAAATATATTCGCGAACACGCATTTTTTCAACAACTACTGAGACCTGTCATCTAGAGACAAAATCGGCGTATTGCACGATACCTGCATTACATCGCATAGGCGTCGCTTTATTCCTATGATGTTATCACTTCGTTGTGTCTGTCGTGCAAAAGTCATGTAGCCAGTAATAAATTTCAGTTGGTATGCTGGCGCCATTCCGAATGTTCATTTTTAAACTGACAGCCGTGGTCCACAAAGCTGTTGTTCGACACGAATACAAAAGATTTCTTTAGCGACTTTTCTTTTCTCGAACATACATGAGATCATGTTGTTGTTGTTGCTGCTGATGCGATGACTTGCGTAAATATATCACGTCGCCACGTCGTGAGCTGTACAAAGCTAGTGCGATTTCTTCAACATAAGGCTTTAAACGGCGTGCATACTTCACGAATCTCCAAACAGTATCTTTGTTTTCAATCATATTCGGATTGATACCACAGCAGATTTGTTTCTGTATGTTAAATACTTTTTGCTTTCACCGACTACGTATAAATTAGAGGCTGCAATCAAGACAGTGCCTTCATTCAGAATATTTGGTCTGCCTCTTTCTGTCCAGAATGAGCAGCAAGCTACTCGTTTGATAGCTGACATTGAAGGTTTTTTTTTCCATAAGTGCAGTACGATCGCAAGAAAACATTAAAAACGAGTTGACGCACCGAAATGATATTAATAAAGGACAGTGGCGAATGATGGTCGAGACGATTATAAGGACTGGGTTTTATGCTCCCGCGTCGTAGATAACTAATGACCAACACGGTTTATACCATCAATTAGCGGCCGGTGAACGTATTGAGAAACTTGTAAGGCTATCGGTGCAAATTATGATGCTTTTGATCCGAAGTATTGGAGCAACGATGCTTTGTGTGGGCATGAGAAGTACACACGTCAGAAGTAACATGTAGTGCAAGTATCCCTAAAGACAATATCGTGGTGATCACCATGATTCATGGTAGTAGTGGCAAGATCGCAATTGTAAGGGCAATGACACAACGAGATAACGGTGCCGAGCTCAATGGCTGCTGTCACGGATATCCTTCGATCTTGGTGCTTCATCACAATGGAAACGCGGGATAACTCATGTGCTGATGTATCTTGCATATGATTGCTTCTTTGATTGAGCCACTGCAGCGTCAGCTCTAAAAGACACGTTGCAAACAGCAAGAGAGATCGCGTACGAATCCTTGCGCTAACGTAAATCGACATTGTCGTCATTATGATTCAAAGAAATACCACTAGAAATCTCGACTACGGAAGAGTGCTCAAGATGTACACAGTCGTTATTAACATCCACGGATTGAAGTCATTGTCCATTGGAAATATCATATCATCTCTCTCAATACATAGGGATTGGATTATAAATTATAATGTCGAAGGATTTGAGGACTGAACACAATATCGCGTCTTGTTGCACTGTGGGCTTACCAACGGTGACGCGCTCGAGTGAATTATTAGTCCATGCGTATCTGGTTTGAATCTCATCGGATACTTGATTACTATCAACCTTGTTTGTAAGTGTCAAATTGAGTTTGCTTTCCTGCGCATGCTAAAAGATCGGTGATTGCTTGCACGCATAGCCAGCGCAGTGTTTTCTGTTTTACTTGTTGTTCTAAATTACTTACCGTACAAGCTGCAACTTTCTGCTCCTTACTTTTCTAACTCTTCGTAATAAAGGAGCACGGGTAGGCCAGACTTACTCGGCGCACGCACGTGAGTTGCCGCCTATATTTGTGAGATCTGTCACAATGGATAGTACAGAGGATCGTGATCTCACCATTACGTCACAGAGGTCAAGGACAGGCCGTTCTTCAAAATGACTTTAATGAGTGCTTTTGCATCCCACCTTAAGTATAGAATGCTTCTCCCATTATATTCTACTCTTTGAAAATCGCGATGACATCACCAAAGAATCTCAATGGGAAGAGTAGATCCATTTTCGAGAATTTGAGATTCTTAGACTGTCTAAAGCAGAAGAATCATATCTGATGGTAATTTATAGCTTGTAATAAAAAAAAATACTGGACGACCCGTTTAGTACATTCGACACTGGACATCCGAGCCATATCACAAATAATTTAAGCCCACTCTTTTAGCACGATCCCAACTCATCTACAGATTGTTAATCCAGTTCTAATGTGCAGAGGTAATGCTCATATTGTGCTGCTTTTGATGTTGCATTATTTGAGACCGAAAGTCTGTGAACCGACAACGTGAGTTCTATTAAGATAGGTTTGGTTCTATTTAGCGCGCACTGTTGCATCATGTGTAGGTCAATTCGAGTATACTGCTGTTTCCACTGCATGTTGCTCAATACAACACGTATTACCACTATTTTGTCCTTGCTTTTTATATAAAGCTTGACCATTTATATGACTTTTGGTACTCAGTTTTTTTACATTACGGATGTGCGCATGTTGACAATGATATTGGCTACCCGCTGGACAAGATTCGCACTGTTACCTACCCCATACTAGAATTAAAAATCTTTCTGCGTCAGAATCTATGTGTGTTATCACAAACCGAGCATATAGCGAAAACCCTACGGTTCTATCTGCAGCGGGGCTGCCGTAGCTTTGCGCTGAGGAAGCGTAAAATAGGTCACCGACCTTTCGTTCTATACTTAGAACAAGATCGAGTTTAGCGGATCGCAATCCACTTATTCCAAGACTAATTATTGCCTGAACCCAAAGCTGATTAACTGTTCCATTTAACGTCAAACCGTATTTTTTTTATCTGCGGCAAAGCCGCCTAATTTTAAATGTATAGATTTCCCTAAATATATTTAGTAAAATCTTAATACATGCATGACTACTGGCTACCCAGCCACATACTTATTTGGGTGCAGTCACACCGTGCCCGTCTCGTGTGACGCCCCCCCCTGTTACCAGGGTACGTGTAACCCCGGAAAGCTCTTCGAGCTCGTTTCTTGGTGTCAAGAAATTCCGTTGAACGTTTATCGCACTCGTCTACGTGCTCAACGAGGTGGCTCTCGTGTACCCGCGATACGGACAATACCTGTAGTGCTCGCCCCTGGCGAAAGTGCTACAGATGACGAAACGCTCTTTGAGCGATGGGTGTAACGGCACCGGAGACTTTCCTCACTGCATAACCTGCAGTTGAGCCACAAGGAAATGGACGTGCGTGTGGAACGACACCTCCGATTTGAGATTGCCAAACTCAAGGCACGCCGTCGACTTCCTTCGGGTTGTCGCCCTGCGACGTATGGATTGACCCTTAACGCCCCCGCAAGCCCTGTGTCTGCGACCGCAAGAGCTTAAGGCCACTGCTTGAGCTCAGCTCATGGCCCTTCAGCTTCCCGGGCTATTGCCGGGAAGCGCGGGGCGTCTGGTCAATCTTGCCGAAGTGACGCCTCAAAATTTAGCGAGTTTTTGGAGTCGAAATATCCCCGCCATTTCACCAAAAATTGGATTTGAACCTAGTGACGATGCCGTCTCACTAGACTTTCCACGTGATGGTGGACGTCACCGTTCTCACCGACTTTTGCTGTCCGGTGACTCGTGATGCTCTTCGAGCCCTTCAGGACGAGGTCCTTCGTGATCGAAGCTCCGCTGAGCGTCATGCTGAAGTAGCATATCGCTATGCGAACGCTCTTGGCGATTTGATGCACGTCGTGCGCCGGATGTCTCACCTTGAGGACTTTCGCGCTCTGTCGGAGCGACTCCTAGCCGTGGAGCAGGCGAATGCATCGCTGCATGCGACGTTGGAGCGCTTGGCTCCATTAGAAGTGGAGGTTGTTGAACTCCGTGCTCAGAACCAGTTGCTGGTTCAGCTTCTGGGTGGCCGAGGGCATGTGGAATTCGCTCCGGCGCCAACGCTTCCGCGTCCACTTGCGCCGAATCCGGTACGGCTTGAGCAAGCCCGCGTAAAACACCGGGTGGGTGCGCATCCGTTTCGGAAGGTTCAGCGTATACCCTTGGACCCGCTTGGCCACGACTTTAAACGGTCCGATAAACCGTGGACGAATCTTCGTCCTGAAGATAGCAGAGGCTGCATGTGTAGGCAGGTTCTCAAGACTTCATAAAACCAGGTTCCCGACCTTAAAGCTTTCGACTTTACCTCTTCCTTTTTCATCTCATATTCTTTCTGCAGGTCTTGGCTTTCAGCCATCGCATCGCGAACGTGTCGTAGGAGCCTCAGTCTGGTAGACAAGAAGTCATCAAATACTTTGCGGATGGTGAGGAGGCTGACATCAGCTGGCCTTTCGGCTATTCCTCCCCAACCAAGCCCTGAGCCATGGGATATCGGCGTCAGTGGGACGCGAGGGTGATTCAGCCCGTTCACGTAGAACGGCGTGTAGCCGGTAGACAAATGCACTGCATTGTTTAATACAAACTTTACGAATGGCAACATGATGCTCCAGCGCCTCGGCGTCTCAGCGCAGGCGCTGCGAAGAACGTCTTCGATGACGCGATTCACCCTTCCGGTTAGACCATCGGTCTGCGGATGATCCGGTGTCGACGTACCCAGCTTGGTGCCGAGCACCTTGAAGATAGTCGACCCAAATATTCCCGTGAAACGGGGGTCTCTATCAGAGACAATCGACTCTGGGAGTCCGTGT